ATTTGCGATGCAAAAGATGCGGCATTACCTAGTGGGACAGACGATCTACGTTATCTCCAACGTTAATCCAGTACGGGTGTTTATGACGCAACCGGCCTCTATGAATTGGCGTCTAGCGAAGTGGGCCCTTCTCTTGTCCCAATACGATTTGCACTTCAAGCAGCAGAAGTCGATAAAAGGACAGGCGATTTGTGACCTTTTGGCGGCAAACCCGACCACAGATACGGCAGAAGTATATGATGACTTGCCGGATGAAACCCACGAGGTTAACACCACATCACACCAACAAGTATGGCAATTATACTTCGATGGTGCCTCAAGGGCAGTTAATAGAGTAATAACCCCGGGATGTCCTACAGTTTCCTCTGGAGTTGGAGTCGTCTTAATCTCCCCTGGAAAGCACGTGATGCCTCGGGCTTATTCGTTGACTAGTCCGTGCTCCAATAATGTTGCCGAATACAACGCGCTTCTCATTGGACTCAGTTTCGCCAAAGAGCTGGGGGTCGAATATCTCGAAGCTTTTGGAGATTCGCAATTGATAGTCAACCAAGTTCGCGGTGAGTATGAAGTCAGGAATCAAGACCTGATCCCGTACCACCAGGAAGCCATCAAAATGGCAGAATCTTTCGAAGAATTCTTTATTGAATACATCCCTCGTCTCCAGAACGCTTATGCAGACGCACTGGCGGCACTAGCAGTATCACTGGCACAGCCTCCCGAAGCTGAGCTGTTAGTCACAGTACGGACGCATCAACTCTGCGTACCCATATACAGTACGGAGATTGAAGAAGAAGAGGATAGAAACGTGAACGCCAAAGAGGTGAATTCAACTCAAATTGGGTCTGAGTCCCGAGATTGGCGTTTTCCTATCATCGACTACGTCCAATATGGTATCTTGCCAGAGGATGTAAAAGAAAAGGAATCAATCCGCCGAAGAGCTCCAAGATTCTTCTATAATACTGAAACCCATACATTATACCGTAGAGGGTACGACGGTCTTTTACTCCGATGCCTTTCGAACAGAGAAGCAAAGGAAGTTCTTAAGGAAGCACACGAAGGAGAATGTGGTGCGCATCAGCCCGGTCCTAAACTGTATGATCGCATCAGGAGGATGGGATATTTCTGGCCAACGATGGTTCGTGACGCAATCGAATACGCACGAGAATGCCACGCTTGCCAGATACATGCGAATTATATGCATCAACCGCCAGAGCAGTTGCACACGTCAACCACGTCTTGGCCGTTCGAGACTTGGGGCATGGACATAGTCGGTCCTATTTTTCCCCCTTCAGTCAAAGGTGATCGGTTCATCCTCGCGATCACAGATTATTTCTCAAAGTGGGCTGAAGCGATTCCGCTTAGAGAAGTGAAGACGAACAACGTCATCAATTTCATCAAGCATCATGTCATTTACCGACACGGCGTGCCAAGAAGGATCATTCATGACAACGGTCCACAGTTCATAAGCAATGCCTTCGTCAGATTCTGCGACAAGTTCAAAATCGAAGATGTTTCGTCGACAGCTTACTACCCCGCCGCGAATGGATTAGCGGAGGCGTTTAACAAGACGATCATTAAGATCCTGTCCAAGCTCGTGAAGACCAATAAACGAGACTGGGACGATAAACTCGGTGAAGCACTCTGGGCTTATCGCACCACCATACGCACGCCTACGGGAGCTACCCCGTATTCGCTGGTATACGGATGTGAAGCTGTGCTACCGCTGGAAATTCAGATTCCGTCCCTTCGGATCGCCCTCGCAACGGAGATGACGACGGAGGAACAACATCAGAAGCGTCTCGAAGAGCTCGAGAGGCTGGATGAAAAGCGTTTGGAGGCTCAACAACACATCGAGTTTTACCAAGCCAGGATGTCAAGGGCTTTTAACAAAAGAGTCCGACAGAGAAGCTTCAAGGAAGGAGATCTGGTCCTCGCTGCTCGCCGACCAATAATTCTCACCTCCAAGAAGAAAGGTAAATTCGAACCCAAATGGGAAGGACCGTTTGTAATAGACACAGTCTATTCAAACGGCGCATATCGCCTGATTACTCAAGAGGGCGCCAGGCAATTAATGCCAATAAATGGGAAGTTCCTGAAAAAGTACTATCCCTAGTACATTCAGGATAACTCGTTTACCGGGAAGTTCCTTGAAGAATATTACACTTAATATTCTAGAGGATAACCCAAAATCATTGTCACCACCAAAATCCCTCACTGATCAGTTTCAATTGACAGTGAGTCCACCAAAAGTATCCATCTGGCCCTCTTGACTCTTTCCATAGACAAGAGGTCCATTTTCATTTCGGAGTCCCCTTTCGATAAACGAAAGAACTCCCTTCTCTTTCTCTTTGGTCAAGCCTTCCCATGGTTATAGCCAAAGTTGAAATTCCACTTCGATAAACGAAGAACCCATTTTCAGTTTAGATAACTCATCCTATAAAAGGCAAGTTTATCTAAATTTTCCAGATTCTCGGAGTGGACACCCCACTTCTAGTTTCTTCCTCGCTGGAAATAGAATATAAAATTCTTCCTTTCCAGAATCAGGGAATAGAATATAAAATTCTTCCTTCCTTGTCTGTTGGGTTCGCCTTCACCCTAAAAGAAGACCGGGAAATAGAATATAAAATTCTGCCTTTCCCGCATCGATCTTTTCCGAAATTTATCAATCTAGGATTCATCCTAGGAAGTTTATCCCGAATCCTAAGCAGGGATAAGTCTGCGCCTAACACGCGCTGCCGGTTTAGTCTTTCTCCAAGGAAAAAGACACCAGACTTTGATTCTGGGGTATGTTATCCTGAAACTAAAGCAAGGTTAAGTCTGCGCCTAACACGCGCTGCCGGTTAGTTCTTAACCGTTAAAAAGAACACCCGTCCACATATTCAACATTGTGGCAGGTCGTTATTAATAACACCAAAATCCATGCCTTACACGCATGGGGAATGTCATCCTGAATCCTAAGAAGGGATATGCCGACGCCTAACACGCGTCGCCGGTTTAGTCTTTCGCCGTAGAAAAAGACACCAGAAGACCAGTCTGGGGTATTTTATCCCGAAACCTAAGTAGGGATAAAGTCAACACCTAACACGTGTTGCCGGGTAGCCTATTCCCGTAACAATGGCGAAGTCTATGTATTCGACATCATAGCACGAAGTCTAAGGGAGTTCATTCCCTTAGCACAACGTTACATGCGGACCTGAGTAGGGATGAGTCAACGCCTAACACGCGTTGCCGGTTTAGTCTTTTACCGATTGAAAAAGACACCAGAGTTCGATTCTGGGGTATCTCATCCCGAAGCCTAAGTAGGGATAAGTCAACGCCTAACACGCGTTGCCGGGTAGTCTATTCCCGTGAGAAAGACGAAGTCTACGTATTCAATATCGTAGCACTAAAAGAGTTGACTCTTTTAGCTTAACGTCACGTGTGGAACGGATTTAGACAATCCGCATGCTAGCCCGACTCAAACGGTAGTCGGTAAAGGCTAATCAAATCCGTTGAGGGCTGGGGGTTAGCCAAAAATCCTGAAGTCAACACCTAACACGTGTCGCCGGGTAGCCTATTCCCGTAACAATGGCGAAGTCTATGTATTCGACATCATAGCACAAAGTCTCGGAGAATTCAATCTCCGAGCATAACGTTACATGCGAACGGATTTAAACAATCTGCATGCTAGCCCGACTCAAACGGTGGTCGGTAAAGGCTCATCAAACCCGTTGATGGCTGAGGGTTTGCCAAAAATCCTATGAGTATTGTGGTCAATCATTTCAAATGGAATGACGAATCATAATAAAGACGAAAGCAAGTTTCACTAAGAGAATCAAAAGTCAAAGTGTTCAGCAAACAAAATCATACATCAAGACCATGACCAAAAATCTGCTGACTGATCTTAGAAAGCTTCTCATCATAAGCTTGCCTAAGTTCAGCCCTGATGGACTCCTCGGTGGTGGCTGAAGTCCTCGCAGCGATCTCTTCTGTCTCGGCTAGCTTCTGCTCCAGGGATCTCAACTCATCAGATAAAGCAGTGTGGGTTTGCTGATCCTGTGCTTTCGTCATCTGAAGAATATCCAAAGTCTCCTCTTTTTCACGGAGTGTTCTTCTGAGCTGGTCTATCTGGACTCCTCGGTGGTGGCTGAAGTCCTCGCAGCGATCTCTTCTGTCTCGGCTAGCTTCTGCTCCAGGGATCTCAACTCATCAGATAAAGCAGTGTGGGTTTGCTGATCCTGTGCTTTCGTCATCTGAAGAATATCCAAAGTCTCCTCTTTTTCACGGAGTGTTCTTCTGAGCTGGTCTATCTCGGTTGCACAGGAGGTAATAGAAAGATCGAGCTCGGCAAGCGAAGATAATCTAGTAGCAAGGCTCGTCTTAACTCGATCTACTCGGCCCCGCTGCATCTGAATCTCGAGCTCAGCAAAAATCCGAGTCTCGCGTGATGACTGTAAGCGGGTGTCCAGCTCGGCAGCAATAAATGAGGAGGCACCTGCATCTCGGAGCTCACGAAACATCTGAAGCTCATGCTCTAGGCAATCAAGGTCATCAACTATAGCCTGTGCCAAATCTGGATGTCCCGCTTCCCTTATCAAATTGACTTTAGAATCAAGGAAAGGCTTGAATTGGCGAAGAGAAAGTCCACCATGGAAAAGCTTGCCAATCATAGCATTCATGAAAGAGAAGAAGGAGCGGACTTCTATACAGATGACAATCTTCTCAGGATCATCATCAGATAACAACTCCCTCGCCAGAATATGAAGACGAGAAGAATTCCCTGCACGATAAAAAAAAACCGTCAGAAAAAGACCTTGAAGAGTAAGTAAATAGTATTCATACCCTCTTGAGTCACTGGGGGTGGTGGAGGTCTAACGGCTGGGGGTGTATCAACTGGTGTAGTTGGTCCCATAGCCGGCTCAACAGGGTCATTCTCAACAAAAACTCCTGTTAAATACAAGTCAGAATTCTCAGAGGCATCACATTATAGCTGCATTAGTCAAAATTGGCTAGTCCTATAATTAATTTGGGAGGAGGCATATACCTTCGAAAGAATCATCCTCAAGATTATTATCGAACGTGGGCTCGGAAAATATGTCTCCAGGTAGCTGGCCATCAAACTGAGGAGAGCTATACATGAAGTGGAGTGTAGGAGTGTCCGCTATCAAGCCTTCCTCGTCAAAATCATCAATGGAGAAATCTGATGTAAAAGAATATAAGTACCAAAGAAGAATAAAGAGACTACAACCAACAGAAATGAGTTACCCCTTATGGATGCGTTAGCCTCTTTATTCCCAAAATCCACGTATGCCTCCTGCAAGTTATCTGAAGAAGCAAGATGTACAGAGATGATTAGAGGATACACAAATTCTTTTGTATACCATCTAAAAGATACATTGTCAATAGTAGATGTACCTGGATCTGCGGAATCAGGTCCTACATTGCTATCCTCCCTAATGTCGGCAACCCCTGTAGGCCTTTTTAACTGGGGCAGCGGGTCAGGCTCACCAGGAGACACAGGAACGGAATCGGGACTCATTTCGCTCTCTCCACGCTCTCCTATATAGAGATGGAAAAGCATGAGTCAATGTTCCGAATAACCAAGAAGGTGGTTTACAGAGTAGATGTTACCTCCGTCACTAGCAGGATCATCACCAGCCAAGTCCATATCAGATGCTCGGGAAGCTGCACGCGGCTTACGGGCAAATCTCTTCCGCCTAGCAGCAGGGATAATAATCGAAGGTCTCGCCTGGGGAGGGGGACAGAACTCTTCATCCTGGTCAACTGTGGTCCCTGAAACATCAAACCATAGTCAGTTTCAATATTTCTGGAAGATGGAAGGAAAAGATGAATAGCAAACCTCGCTCGGAAAAGTCTTCATAACCTTCAGGATCTCCGCCTGAAGCCTCGTCTGCGGAATGAAAGGTCTTCTTTCCCTCTTCATCAATCCGACGAGCTCTGCAATCGGCTTCACGGGGATAGTCTTGTTGGCTGCTAACAACCACTTGCAGCTTAAGAAAGTGAGGTTCAACTGCCGATCAGCACTCGGGAGACTAAATTTAGCACCAGTACAGCCAGTCACGGTCCACAACCACGTACGGAGACCATCTACCAAACCGCCGTGGGTCCGAAGCTACTGACGAGGATTCCCGACGTAAAGCTGATCGTAGCCAAACTGACGAGCGAATCGGCAGGGTAGATATGGCTCTATGAAGCACTGATCCCTTACCCGAAAAGTCAGATAACCTGGCCTAATGTTCACCAGCCAGTTAAAGCACCCGATGTCCAAGTGGGTTCGATACTCTCTCGGCCTCTCCTCATCTATCAAAGTATCGCCATATCGGCCGGAGAACTGCGGAAAGCAAGTGGAAAATGTCCAACACTTGTGGACCTGCAGCTGCTGTCTGATGTCAGAAAATCCGCGCCCCTCCCACTTGCCGTTCTCAAGCAACTGTAGTAAAGGAACGGAATGATCTGTGGCGCTCGGTACCGACATCATATCGGGACGGTGAAGGACAAACCAAGCCATCAAGTAAGTGTACGGGAGCTCTGTCTTAAGGGTGGGAATCTGAGTCGGCGATTCCTTTTCCTTCCGTGTAAAGGCACCAGAAAGCTGTCGAAGTCCTCGGTGAATGTTAGCCACCATCACCGGAAGAAGTGAGAGTTCTTTCTTGTAGGCAAGCTGAACTGCTGGATAGAGTACTTCCAAGGGCAGAGCGTCACAAGACTGGTACGAGACCACGCATTTCTTTAACCAAATAGCGAGGAAACCGGCAAGAAGGGTCATTGGTCGAATCGGTGCGGTAGCATGCCACAAGAATGATTTTAACTTAGTCCCTGCAGGAAAGCCACCCTCAGAACTGCTAGTGGTATAAGAATGAGCGTCAATCTTCTTCAGCAGAATGTTCACCCCTGAGGGAGTAAGTGGGGCCAACTCACAAATAGCCTCGCCAAAATTACTCTCCAGAGTCTTGAACAAATAATTGGCAAACTACTTCAGACTCACGAATGTCTTAGTCCTCTATGCTAAAGGCTCAGACTACGCCAAAGCTATATGATAGTGACAAGTGAGATCCCATAGAGTCTCGTAGCGATCGGGCATACGATCCTTCAGCGGACTTAATTCATGGTTGGAGGGAAAGTATTCCTGATACAACATCTGTCCCATGGGTAAGCCAGAAATCCTGTGCATCTCGTGAAGAGCCAAACCCAACTCCCCTTGCCGGGTCAGAAAAGTGTTCGAATCTGAATTGTAAAGCTCGAACAAAGCACAGAAATGCCTTGCGCTGACAGACAAGCCATACATGGTGGCACGAACGGCTGCATATAAACCACAAGAATGCAACTCCTCGCCCCATCGGCTCAAGACATACGTCGTCATACGGGTCCACCAAAACTTGTCCAAAGAATGGACCCAACCATAAATCCTGTGACGCGACGCAGGCATCTCCCACCCTAGAGCAGCGAGGCGATTCCTCAAGGTAGAAGCGGTGGCGAGGAACTCGTTACGTGGTGGTGCATCCAACCCCAGTACTCCGGGACGCAATCCGGTGATGTGACTTCTGCGATGAGTGATGTACCCGCAATGGACGCTCTCATGCTCCTCCGTCAAGCGCCACGACATCTCCCGTGTCACGGCCTGACGCCTGAACTCAGTCAATGAACGATGCCGAGGAATCTTCGGCAAATATATGAAGCCACTGCCAGTTTTACTGACAGAATCACCAAACAAAAAATCAGTCTTCCGAAGAGGCTGAATAGAACTGGCGTCCTTCACAAGAGGTGCATCGGTAATCAACTGTCGAAGAGCTCGGTGCCCACCTTCCTTCACCGCCTGGGCAACCTCAGTCGATGTGCCCAAAACGAACTGAGGAGTGACTGGGATAGGGGAAACATCGTCGGAGGTCGAATAATACTCACCACGACGCCCGTATACTGTGTGAGATGAGAACGCTCCAGAAGGGTATTCAACTAAGAACAAGCAATTAAACGTTTGTTAATTCCAGTTATAAAAGGAAATTGAACTCATCTTACGAAAGGGTAAGATAGAGTCATTGCCTTATAAAGGGTGTGATGTTTTGGCCACGTTGTACCTTCATAAGATAGGGTATATCGACAATATATCCCTGCCTTATAAGGCACAACGCAGCGACAAAACGCCCCCTTTATTTATTATGAGATAGTGTTTTGACCAAGCAAAACATATCTTTGAAGCGTCGATCCTCACCAAGGAGAATCAAGGCTTTTCCTGGTTGCCTCACCAAGGAGAACAACGGGGAGTAAAAAAGAAAAAGGACCAATTTGTAAATTTCCAAGAAAAAATGGACTAATTTGTAAATTTCCAGAAAAAAATAGCTCACCGGCGTAAGAGGGAGGCGCGCCATCAGTCGGCGCGGTTGAGGATTGACCCCTCGCCATACGGGACATAGAGACCTGCAAGGTAAATTGAGGGATCAGATCTAGAAAAGGAAAAATCCCATTTTTTTTATCGCAATTCCACCCCTAAAAAGGTGAGCTTGAGGCTTCAAATCACACCCTCAACCCTTATATGCGATCCCGCGACTCCATACACTAGATCAAACATGAAATAGATCAAGATTGCGGAGGATTTACCTGAAGAAAAGCTCAAAATTCAATAAAGGCGAGACCTTTAAGGAAACTTGAACCACACGCTCGAGGGGCCTGAGAGAAACTTTTTATTTAGAGTTTTTGGGAGATTCCTCAGTCCAAGATTCAAAGGAAAGCCAGATCTAAGACAAATATCAAGGTTTGAAAGAGAATGGATGCTCGAGGGAAGAGAAATCAAGAGAAGAGGGGGAGGGGTTCGGCCGGCCCTAGGGAGAAAAGAAAAGAAAAGAAAAGAAAGAACCCCTTTTATAGCCTTGAACCAGATCTAGCTGAACCAGACCAGACCGGGCTGAACCAGACCAAGCCAGATTGGACCAGAATGAGCCAGAATGAGCCAGATTGAGCCAGAATGAACCAAATCGAGCCAGATTGAACCTGGCTGGACCAGACCAGACCAGAATGAACCAAATTGAGCCAGATTGAACCAGAATGAGCCAGTCTGAGCCAAATTGAACCAGTTTGAACCAAATTTGAATCAGAATTCAAATTGGAGCTGAATTAAGCATTGAAACGACTTTTGATCAACCTACGGTTCAGTCCTTCACCTATTTAACCCCTCTACCATATATTTGGAAGGGTCGGAGAGATTTTTGAACCCAAATACTGCCTTTTTGGCACATTTTTTTTGGGCCGGTTCAGATTATTCGAACCTAAAGAATACTCCAATAAGGTATACGAGTATAAACTATTCCCTCCTCTTTGTTGAGAAGTTTCTCGAGAATATTTTTCTAAAAAATATTCTTAAGGATAACTTAACATAACTCCCAGGAGTGTATGAGTATAAACTAGACCTCCCCGCTCCAACTCCTTAAGAGCTTAAACTGTGTAGACTCCAAAATACTTACGAGTATAAACTGTGTTAAACGCCGGACAACGCGTCACAATGAAGATTCAAAGCCGTCAACCGATGGTCAATTCCATGTTGAAGCAACTAATTCGAGCTAAAAAGCCAGGAAATCAAGAATCGACTTCAAATTCAAAATTCCGACAACGGTCAGACAATAAATGCAGCACCGGAACCCTCTCAAGCATTCGACAAAGCACCGAATAGCCTGGAGGATTGAAGGAATCGAGAATAGAAGCCATTCCAAGAGCCCGTTACACCGATTGAAGGTTGGGACAGTCATATCCAAAGTATTCCAGACTCTTCTATAAAAGAACGAGACTGGAAAACTTTGGAGGGGGTATCTGTAGGCATATAAAATTGCTTATAGGTCCCTTGACACGGTTCAACACGAACTAATATACCATCAGGCGACGTATCTAAGCACGAACGTCAGTCCACAACACCGAAGCCAAGTGACACGCAGCGAAGCGGATTAACAAGGCTACGAAGCTGACGAACCGCACGTGAACGACGGAATGAATCCACTCGCGTGCGGAATCAAACCAACGGTCCAGGGAGTCAACGAGTCATCCAACCATATAACGGATTCGAACTCAGACACCAAAGCCGATTTACTGCCTAATCGGGATCCAGACTTCCAAATCAGGAATCAAGTCAACGAATCGATTTCAGACCAATCAACCGCATAACCGAATCACGGACGAAGCGGATACAAGGACCAAAACAACCGGACGACGGACACACACAAAGCCCGGAGTGGCTCGGCCAAGGCCGAGCCACCCTGAGGTGGCCGCCCAGATCTGTGCCAAATGCACAGATCTGGTTGCCTATAAATAGGCGGGGTCATTCATCATTTTAAAGGACTTTTTGGGAGAACTTTTGGAGAGCCGAAACTCTGCCGGATTGAGACCTCATCTTGGAGTTTTTAAAGGCTTGAAGACTTGGACATTCGGATCTGATTCTCGGCGAGCACCTGCATCACAAAAGGCAAGAGTTCGAGGGGATCGAGATCTCAGATCTACGTTGTTACACTCCAGATCAAAGCTTGGTCTTTGATCCCGAGATTCGAGCGATTGTTTCCTTGGTGAAATAATCCCTCCGGCTATTATTTCCTTGGTGAAATAATACCCGTTATACTGCGTAGATCTGCTCGGATCTAGATCGCGCGGTGGTCCACGGCAAACAACCCCGGCGCAGGCAAACAACCCACGCAAGCGAGTGACCGAATAACAGGAGCT